TCTTCTGGTATCGGTGCCATAAAGCGAGTAAGGCACCTTGTCCCCCAAGCGACCTTACAACTAATTTACCAAGCTCTTATTCACCCTCACTTCAATTATTGCAATACTGTTTAGGGAAACTGTGGGATAACCTTAAGGAGCAAACTTAAAAAACTACAAAATAGAGCAGCCCTTGTTTTACATTTTCAGACTACGATGAAGACGCTTGTTACCTGTTTGAACTCCCAGGATGGAAAATTCTAGCGCACCAGCACGAAACTGAAAAAGCCACGATGGTTTATGAGTCTTTACACGTGCTGGCTCCAGAATATTTGTGTTCTAGGTTTGCAATAAGGGAAACGGCATATAACAGGCAAGCAGAGTCCTTTACGAAATTCAAATGTCTTCTTAAACAAGTACTCCAGGGCACGACATTCATCTATCTATCTATCTATTTATCTATCTCTCGATCTCTCTCTCTCTCTCTCTCTCTCTCTCTCTCTCTCTCTCTCTCTCTCTCTCTCTCTCTCTNAGCAATACAAAATACTACATACAAAAGTGCAAGGTTCACAGCAAAAAGTCATCTTTTCTGCCGGACTATTACATTACTTATTTATTACTTAGATTTGTATTTCAGTTGTATCTTGGAACGTGTGCGTGCAAAGTTGTATTTTGAGTACGTGCATTATTTATTTATTTATCTAATTGACGTGTACATTTAGTTCGTTAAAAATATAGTAACGTCTTAATTTTACTTTGCGTTATTTTCCTCACTTATATGTGTTGTCCAGTGTATAGGATTTAAGGATTTAATGGATTTAATGGAGCCGAAACCAATTGTGGAATTGCACACATTCTAGGTATCCTACTGATGGAGTGATACGACACGTATTTTTTAGCAACTTCTATAATTTGCCATCTGTTCACTTTGAATATTTACGCCCAGTTTTACGCTTCGCTGCGTCGCGTGCAGACATGTCAAATTACGGAAGCAAAAAGATCCCACAAAGAACCGGATTGGCAAGCTATCTTGTTTCAAAGTCGCATGCACTTTTTCTCGCTTCCCCGAAAAAAAAAACTCTTGCGCTCGGAGTTAGTGCTTTCCACAAGTTGCTTGAGAGTTTCCAAAAAGTTTCCCGTAATTTCCCAAAAACTTGCTGAAAAGCTGCTCAAAAACCAATGAAAAGTTGCTTTTTGTAACGAAAGTTGCTCAAAAGTTACTCAAAGAAACAAACACTTTTTTGGTCTGATGCTAAAATATGCAAATTGTACAACAAAAGTTAAGATTTCTTAGCATTTTTGTGCAAGTTGGCGGCGTAACAAGCGTTGCTAAATAACTTTGTCCTTAAGTAAAACCAAAAACTGTAATGAGCCAATAAAATTGTTAAATGATCTTCTTCACCCGAGACACTCAAGTCAGTCGAGTGTGAATCTTCGCTCACCATTTTGAATTTTCTCTAAAAACCGCTGACCTAGCGCGGGTACCCTTAGCTTGCACCCATGATCTGCCCTAGTAGTACAGGAAAATGGTGCAACATTGTTCAAATTAGTGTTAAAAGCACAAAATTTTGAAGAGGTGTAGAGGTTTATTCCCTGAGTAATTCTGGCTAGGATGTCACCCCTCAAATTGAATACTTCCAGTTTATAGCTATGGAATTAATTATCATTTAAAAAGCGGAAACACAACCTTAAAGGTAAAGAATGGATCAGAAATTTATAAGAGCAGTACGATACAGAGTAGTGCAAAGTGATATCCAAAGTACCACGCCCTCTGATGGATACTTCCAGAAATGAAGAGGGGGAATACATTATAATAAAAATACGAAACTTATGCACTGTTTAAGCTTGTACATACTTAAACTGTAACTCTAGATAGGAGGTCACTACCCTTTTCAAGTACTTTTAGTTCAACAGCTATGGTATCGATGATATAATAAAGCGCTGGAAAATATCATTTCTAGGGTGGAAGCGAAAGATTCAAAAAGTCACCGTGATTGGCTACATTGGCGTTTGTATATCTATGGATAGAATCACGCCTTTTGGTGGATGCGTACAGAGAAATAGTTGTTGCATTGGTATTACCGAAAGTGAACAATATAGAGTAACATAAATGCCTACACGCGTCATAGTTCATACCAGTCCATCTCATTGATGATATTTCCATGTAATTATTATGTCTAAAATAATTCCACGCCTTTATCGAGTAGTTTCAGTTGTGCAGTCATCGAATTAATTTTCACAAAATGAAATGAAAATAACCAAAAACTTTTTCCGAGGTAAGGATTTGAATGATTTTTCGTGGGCAACGCAACCCTTTCTCGTTTTTCCTGGCTGTGGCATCAGGTTCCTCTATTAATGAAATCAAAGCTCGATCTTAGAAGCCGGCGAGCAAAACTTATGCCAAATTCTAAACACCAAAGGCATAGTGTATGCTAAATATACCTAATGTGATCTACGGATCTGCACTTTTGTCCGATCCCATTAACTTTTCTTTTTGACTCGGCGCCAGCTGGTTAGGAAAACAAAACATGAGTCCAAAGTTGGCGTTGCAAACGTTTTATAATCTTATTCAGACAGCAGCGGTTCAACCTGCTTTTACTTACCTACAGACGAGTCGACGAATGGCCATTGCCGCTCACATTGTCCTCTGCACTTGCACAGGGCGGTACATGGAAGATGTGACTTGACACATTTGCATCGCCCTTTACATCCCCTCTCAGGCTGACAGCTAAATTTCAGCAACAGTTCAAATACCTTGGACACCTCCGGGAGTAGAGTCCAGACAGGCTCCAACTGGCCGCTTGAAGACTACTGCCACCCCCTATTCTGATGGAGAAGGGAGATTTGGAATGCCTATGAGGGCCTTACCCTAACAATGGCCTACCATGTAGGCTGCTCACTTAAAATGCTCCAGCAGAGCAGCAGACGTGAGTGTAATTGCGTCTATTCTGGTCCCTTATGGAGAGTAAATCCAACCTCGCTTCATTTGCTGAAACACAGCTACTGGTTCTGTCATAAATTAGAACGACGAAGCGCTCCAGGTGGGGAAGGGACTCGTAGACTGCCTTAGAATAGCAAACGCTGGAGTAACATCCTCATAGACGTTCCATGTGTCCCAAGCAGTTTTCTTGCCTTTACTATAAAGGGACGAGACTTGATTACACCCGGTGAGGGCATGAAATGCCGGTAGAGCTAAGCTTTTCTCAGGACCCAAAACAGCTGCAATTTTGTGAATGTCGATGTAGCGGAATGCCTTGCCAGAGCCAAGTACAATCCATATTTCGCTGGCGCTGAGCCTCCGGAACACAGAAATAGCTATAACAGTCACGTCGGTATCAACTGTGTGGATCAATAGCCTCTTATTGCCTTCTCTTTCTGAATCCAGTTGGTGAACGAAAATTCCCGTATCGGCTTCCTCATGCGTGCATGGTGATAAGACACCAGTATCTCCACTTGTGTTGCTTACCAACTGACTGGTCGTAAGATAATATTACCTTCTTATCAAAACCGTCAACGGTCGGGCACATCACTGCCAAGAACCTGAATAGTTACTTTTTGTTTTCGTCTACTCTGAGGAATCCATCCCAGTTCGCTGGTATGGGACTGTTAGACTCAACTCGCCTTGTCACCCCGTTGCCTTGCTTCTCCCTGGTGTGAGCTTTCAAGCTGTTGGCATTATAGGCATCCCAAACAATGTCTATCCTGTTGACATGAAGTGTCAGCTGCTGTTGCACATAGCTCAGAAACACTTCTTCCCCGCATTGCTGGAAAGTCAATGCCCAGGCTTCAACATGTTAACAATTGCCGCACCATCTAAAATTACTGCTTCAACGAGGGAAGAATCACTCTGATTGGATGGCGAGAGCTCCTCAAGGCACTTAGCTAGATCGGACTTCGCGCACGAGTGCATGCTTCCAAACTTTGCAAGCGATGGCGGGTACGCGTGCTTTTTCATGACCAAAAAAATCACTCAAGTCCGCTCCACGGATCTGGCAGCTGATAAAAGACTGTGCAAACAGAGTGCAGTCTTCTTAAGAGATTTTAAGCACTTAAGTTGTTGTCGTTTTTCTTTGTTGTCGGCTTACTAAACAATGGAAGGTTGTTCTTATTAATAGGCTCAAATAAAGAAGTTTCTTGTTTGACAAGCCGCCTTTCAACAAAGGCTTCAAACGAGTCCTGGCCAATGCGCTTGACTTTATCAACAGTTGAAACAACACTTGAGATAGCGATGTCTCGAGTATCTAATACTAGAAGATCGGAACTTGGATGACCGAACGAGTTCCATCCAGGGCCGAAAAAAGGAAAAGCCGCCCGCTTGCTCTTGACTTCTTCATGGTGGCGGAATGTACCGGTGTCGTCTTCTTCTAAGCCTTGCCGATGACCCTCAGCATCTTCAAACTCGGACACCATACGCGCGATTTCCGGCCAGACACCATCCTCCTCAATAGTTCTGATGAATTTTCGGTTAGGCCCACTGAGCCCCCGTCCCCTTTCACGATCTTATTGTTCTGTTCGTGGGTATGGTCTAACGTAATGGCTTAGAAAGGGTTCTGGGTCTTGTGAATGACAAACTTTCCATTTCTGAACTCTTCTGCTATCTGAGGATGCCGATCGGGGAGAGCCAGCATGTCTCTTAGATGCACTGAAAGCCACCGAGCATAATGCATGTGATCTAGGGCGAAAAACCATGTAATCAGTCTTTCCAAACTATCACAATACAGAACCACGTCACCCTGTCGTATTGATTGCACAAATGTTAGCACAGTTATTTCTAGTTGCATGACGAGGTACCAAAAGTGAAAGAGTGGGCTTGCTTCGATTCTTCGTTTCTTTCACCCCTCAAACCACTCAGGAGGCTCTTCACACGATTGTAGATAGCCACTGTATACTCTCTGCATAAGAATGTATAGAGCGCAAGCAGTAACTTGGTGTGCATGGTGGGCCCGTGAGATGTGTGATACCCTCAGAAGTGTATCATCGCTTCCAGGAGTAGCAATATTAGCATTGATTATCACTGTCTTTCAGCCGCTTTCAGCTAGCCAATCTCCGAGGGTCTTCCATGCACCACTTTCTATGTGTAATCCCCCGAACATTGCGAAGAGCTTCGGTTCGCCGTAGAATTCTGGGAAGTTCCATTGTACAAGTTTTGTGATGGCATACAAAGGTTGGTCGCAAGCAATTGCCGGTACTTGACCAGGACTGAGGAACTCGACAGCTTTTCTGATTACATCAATTACATGTCTCACCATAGCCGGTGATTTGGAATCTTCTCTGAAAAGGGGGAACGTAATATCTGTTTGAGGGTGTGATGATCGTTTACTGGCGTGGTATACAGACCAAGATACGTCCGTCGCCTGACTTTCATCGTCTCCGCTTTGTTCCACCACAACTGACACGTGCTTGAGCCAGGATTGGTTAGTATCAAGAGCGACAGGCAAGGCCTTCATTTCATCGTTAAAAGTCACGTTAGCCTCTGGCTTCTCCCTGGGAAAAACGAATGGCCTTACAGAGGCATATTCTTCGGTGAGTGGTGAAATGGATGTTTTTGTGGTAGCATCGCTGCAAATATGGGTAACTTTTCTTGTTTCTCCCGGGTTGTTTTCTGTTGGGTGTTGGAATAAGGATATTCCCGTAACATGGAATGATCCCTTGGCAGTTGTAGCACTCGGGTTATGATCAATACTATCATATGCGCTAGTTGTAAATAGTCCTTTTCGTAGATTTGAGGGACAAACAACCTCCTCTTGATGAAATTGCTGACATACAGAGTTCCCTATGTTTATGGAGATTTCGAGTACCCGGTCGTACGAAATTGACATACCCAAGTTGTGTAATTTATCAACCAGTTCCCGTTTTCTCGTCTTTGCATGAACCATCAACCCTGTGTCTACTGCTACTGGTGGTTCTCGCTTTTTGGTGTTATACGTTGCTAACGAACCCTTTCGCCGACGAATGGTGGAATTATATCTGCTAGGTTAACAACATAAATATTATAATACTTATACTACTACATGAGAAATTACTGCAATTTGATTGGCTTAGAGCAGTGGTATTTNGAACCATCAACCCTGTGTCTACTGCTACTGGTGGTTCTCGCTTTTTGGTGTTATACGTTGCTAACGAACCCTTTCGCCGACGAATGGTGGAATTATATCTGCTAGGTTAACAACATAAATATTATAATACTAATAATGTATACAAAAATAGTACAAATTTAATCCTACTCAATCATTTTTTAAAATAAGTTTTGGAAGGCAGTTTCTAAGTGCAGGACTGGTAACCTGCTAGCTGTAGTGCTTGCAAGCTAGTTTTTACTCAACATATCCAGCCTCCCCATGGTTTTAATGTCTAAGTATCAGGCTTTTTCGAACACCCAGATCACCATTATTCGGCCTCCGGAGCGATAATCTTGCTGTATTTAAACGGGAACACAGGCCTTCATAATACACTGTCGGCTGCGGAAAATGGATTGACCTGAGTATATCCTGTGTAGCAAGTGCGAAGGGAAAGGACGGGCCCTGAAAGCGAGCGCTGAGAAAAAGCTGCCACATTCTTCCCTCCTTCCAATTCCCCTAGCTTCCCACTCGCTTTTTTCTATCCTTCCCTCTTTGCGCTTGCTACGCAGGCTGACCAGAGTGCAACCTGGTTTGAAATAGGTACATAGCAATGCATTGTTCTTAAAGCCAGTGAATATGCAATCATTAAATGTTATAATTGCGATTTTAAACAGCTTGTACCCATCGGTAAGGACGTAGTAGCTTTCCATGAGCTTAGTTATTGTGTTGATCAACCAAATAGGACTATAAGAGCAACAAAGTCTCGAACTCCACAAAAATGTCGTCTTTACAATGCCCCCTCTTCCGTCAGTAAGCTCTCTTTCGGTGTAGGTAACCAACCTGACAAGCTGCGCTATGCTGAGACAAGCTTCCGATATCTTGGATTCTCTGGCTTCCATGGAAACATTCAACAACAGGCTTACAAGTTGTAGCAGTGACTGGGGGACAGCATTCACTTAGCAGTTGCTCTCGAATGTCCCGGAAAAATCGGTGTCATCCATTTTGAACATGTCTTCCTTAATTATTTTAGCTGCTTTTTTCAGTATTGCGTTCTCTTCAATTGCGGACTCATGACACTTAGTCACGGCTTTGGCGATGTCCGATCTGTATACTAGAAACACATCCTTTTGCCCCTTGGTCACAACTTCCAACTCAGGCATTTTATCAAGAATCTGATTTTTTAGATGAGTTGTGTTAACTCTGCTGTTGACCTGGAAGCCTAGTTCTGTAACGCCATGACTGTAAATCTCGCAGTTTTGTCAATTTGAACATCACGCCTGTTTCCTGGCTCGCCCGGGATTATCATACTTAGCTTTCGCAATATACGACATTACTTCATCCAGAGCTGCGTCGTGAATGCTCTCTAATTCTTCTTTTTGACATTGATCTATTGCTGTATTCTTTTTTTCCCGATATCCCTTGTTGTACAGTGTAGAAAGGCAGCGGGAGTGATAAAGTGCTCTCCGTACAATCATATCCCCGACACACAACTTTTGAAGCAGTCTCTCATCCTGTATCTGCTGCGCATACTTCCTTACTCTTTGATCTAACATCAAAATACAGACTTTCTCTTCCCCAAAGGACCTTCCCGATCGGGAGAGGCATCACAACTCTGTCTTTTCATCTTTCTTGGAACTCCTGGTTGATCCTGTTGAACATCTGCGTTAATTTGCCCATGGAAGGTATGATATCACAACTCTTTCTTTTCTCAGCCCGTCTCAAGTTTGTGATAGTGAACTTGCCATAGCAGCTTTTGTGCCACTAAGCATTCCGACTCTTAAATGTTTCTTTGAGGGTGCCACCGTCTACTATTCTATTATTGTTGCGTGTAGAGGTAACTTCATCTCGAGATCTCTAAATTGTGGGATGATTCTACTCAATGTCTCATAACCGTTGGTAGCATTAGCATCCACGATCGTATTTCCCGGGCATCTCAATGCTTCCCTCGTCTCTCTTTGACACAGTACACATTTGTGCCAGTCAAATACACTATTAAACGTCTGAGACATTGCTGCTGCAATGATATAAAATTCATTTCGCTACTATGCAATGATGCAACAGTACAGACCACGTACAGCTAACACAGTTCACGATTCTAAATTTTTTAAAAATACCGACATCTTTGCACTTTTTTGGCATAAGCTTTGACAAAAATTATAAATTTATAAACTATGCGACAACAACGTTATGACACTTAATTTATTACATTTTGGGTTGATTTTTTTATTTATTCAATGTGGAATTTTTCTCATCCGTTAGGTCAATCAATTAATCAAGAAATCATGAAAGCAAACAAAATACTATAGAACTACTTTTATTCATATATAGATTTCCACAGAAAAGTATTTCTGGATAGCTTGGTGCTGTCTGTCTTTTTATTCTAGCTAAAGCCATATTCATATGATTTAAAACTCATTGTCAACGCTGCACTATAAAACACGTGTTCTATATTCTTAACTACGGCTGTCACTGGGAAGTTTTCGAGTAGCAATAAAACATACTCACCTCAATTTTAAAGCCACAGGTCAAGGAGGTCTTGCACCAACAGTTGGTTGTTTAATTAACAGCTCTTATGGAGCAAAACGTTTTTCTCGGTTCAGAATACACCTCTCGCGTACAAGACAATAGAATTTCCTGTTCGTCCTTGCTAGTCGCGTGCTTTGTATCGCTCAGACCTAATGAACTTATTTACGGCTCCTTGACTCCAACAAACAGAATTAGCAGCATTTGAAAAATAAAGGGTGCTGGTGCTATTAGGAAACATTCTTATCTTTAAAAGCCCAGCAAAAAAAATATATTATATATATTTTACTCTCATTTCTCACTGCGAGATCTTGTGATTTTTCGATCGGTTGTCAGTACTCAGGATAGAACCGAAATGTAAGTGAATAAGACGATGTTGAAAAGCATGCGCGGGTCAGTGAATTAATTCCCTGACTTCTCAACTGGAAGTACTTTATAGAGGAAGTTGCATCATTTAAGACATAATATTATTCATTCAAAATATTTCCCGGATTCTGATTGGCTAAAAGCACACGTTTAATTCACCATAACCAGTTACTGATAACCAAATTTGGAAGAATTTTGTGTTTAACGAGGAAATGACGTCAAAAATGCAGCGTTATTGCAGGTTAATGCACCGTTAACCTGAGAAGACCTGGGGACGAGGTTGAGTTGTTTTGGTTGGACATTTCACTCGTTTCAAGAGTAAGAACTAGGCAGGCGAAAAATAGCTAAAAACATGGCAAGAACAGCAAGAAGACAACTCGAAGGGTGACATCTGCTATTTGGAGAATATTTGCGGAGCTGAACAACCCTAAAAGTGCACTATCGAAGATGAACTTAACATCCATGGATCGATGGAGGTAAGCATGTTTTAGCTATGTTTTTAAACTAGGAATTATTTTAAATGAATAATAAAACAATCATTGAATTCGGTTTTCGTATCATATGAAGAATCATGGCGATCTCGGAGGGTGTTGTGGCTTATTATGATGACATTTTTTAATCTTCTGATTTCACCCTAGAAATGCTATTTATCTGCGTTTATTTATATAATCCATTCCATAGCTGTTTAAATAGAAGTAGTTGAAAAGGGACGTGACTTCCTATTTAGAGATATTTATAACATTAACACTTATCCTTAAACAAGAGTTTAAGTATGTACAAGCTTAAACAGTACATAATTTTCGTATTTTTATTTTTATGTATTCCTGGTCTTTATTTCTGGAAGCATCAATCAGAGGGCGTGGTCATATGCATATCACTGTGCACTACTCTGTAGGTTATCGCTCTTATAAATTTCGGACCCATTCTTTACCTTTAAGGCTGTGTTTTTGCCGTTTAAATGATAATAAATTCCATAGCTATAAAACTGGAAGTATTCAGTTTGGGGCGTGGCGTACTATCTAGCATTTATTGTGACATCTACCCATACACAAGAGTTTAATTATATACCTGTTTAAACAGTGCATAATTTACGTATTTTTATTATAATGTATTCCTTGTGTTTATTACTGGAAATATCCATCAGAGGGCGTGGCTCTAATGAATAGCACTGTGCACTACACTGTATCTTATGGCTTTTAGAAATTTCGGATTCATTCTTTAACTTTAAGGCTGGTTTTTTTGCTGCTTAAATGATAATTAATTCCATAGCTATAAAACTGGAAGTATTTAATATGGGGGGGGACGTCCTATCCAGAATTACTAAGGGTGTGGACCTCTATACCTCTGCCAAATTTCGTGCTTTTAACACTAATTTGAGCAATGTTGCATGTCTTCTGCACCATTTTCCTGTACTATTTGTTTCTAAGAAACAGTCAAGGAAGCTTGAGCTTGATACACTATTAAAAGATCGTGATGCGAACATCATGTAACAAACCTAGCGAATAATTCGGATTTAGAACTTTTTTTCGACTTTTTTTTACCTTCTTTAATAGCGTCACCCCGCATTTTCATTCTAAAAAACTGTAAAGTAAGGTGCTCTATTTGAAAAAAATTTCTTTTGAAGGTTAAAAGCTTGGGAATACCCAGATTTTCAAAGTGCTCGAAATGCACTCTCGGGCAACCTAATTACCCTCATCCCTTGCACCACTGGTATCGTTTGGTCCGTCTCCTCGTTGGATCGCACCTCCTCGTAAAAAATCCTGGCTGCGGACCCTGGAAAGCCTCTGAGCAGTCAATGGATACTTGCTCGTGTCATCTCCCGGCTGCTCGCGATCCGCCTTGCGCCGCGGCCAATGTGAAAAATCTGTTCGCTGTGGGCAAGCCATCAAACTACCATGCGCCCTAACCACTTGGCTACCCTATCTCCTCGTTATTTATCCGATGGATAGCGCTATCTAAAGTTTGAACAACTTAGGCCACGTGTAAAATAATGATAAAAAAACGGCCAATTTCCGCGCCGCTAATTAAGCGTAGCGTTAATTTCCGAGACCTTGATTTTCATTATATTTACCACAAATTTTTCGCACTTCAGACATTTTTGACACCCAAAAAAGAGGAGTATTTTATCAGGGTGGCGATCCGCCATTAACAGTGAAACTGTGTATAGAACCCTTGAAGTGGCCAGATTTTTTCGCTTTTACTCCTTCGTACGGGGAGAAAGAGCCCCAAACAAAGTTTCCATTTCGGATTATACAGCGTTTAAACGTTTTTCTTGTCGTCTCAACAAGTTTTGTTTCTTTGTGAAAGTCGCGTTTATTTCGTTCATTTTGAAATTTTACCCTCTGTTTCGGGCTAATTAGCGGTCTCAAAAAAACCTTTTTAGGCCCTTTGAGCCTCAGTTAGGTGTAAAAATAAGGGGGAGGGGGGGGGAACCCGGGCCCACCGGTCCCCTCCCCTGGATCCGCCACTGCCTATCCTTAATAAAATTAATGTTGATCGAAGGATATGTGACCTTAAAATAATTTCCTTAAACAGGTGATGAAAAATGTAGAACAAATCTGGTCAGGCTTGGGAATATGTTCCTTATTTAAACTCTATTATTAAAAGGCGTTTTTTGCGTTAAAGGATTTCGACCAATCATAAGTGATCCAGACTATAGCCGTGAAAAAGTTAACAATTTTGCATGTTCCTCACATAGGATTTCTACGTTACTTATTCCCAGACGAGGTTTTGTTATAAAGAAGTTGGTTAGAAAACAAAGGATTAATATACATGCTACTTTAATTTGCGAAGATTCCATAAAATTTGCCGTTTAAACCAATCAGAAGAATATTAGAGACATCAGTAAAGTTGCCACCTTTCTGCATTCTCACGTGTTCGTTGCGTTTGGTTTTTTCCTTCTTATCTCGACCGTTACTTAAAAGGAAAATGAAGGACTCCATTCTAAATTTACACCTTTATTTACATATTCATGAACTTTCGCGTTAGTACCATTATTCTATTCTTTTAG